GAAGCAACAAGAATCTAAAAGTAAGATAGAGTTTAGTCTAGATCGTGGATTTATCAACCTCTACTCTGTAGTAAGTAGTAGAACATTGTAATATCAAGAGACATACAATTGTGGTTGCATTGTTTTTTTTTACCTGAAAGCTACATCTGACTATGTTGAACCACAGGTTTATATGAGCTATTTGTCATTAAAATAAGTACTGAAGTACAGTGACCTACTGAAGGGCCTTCACACGAAAACTATTGATAGAGTCAGAGATTACAGTGAACTTTTAGCTGAATCAGCTACATTACACAGTGTCTGTTAGGACTCCTCCACATTAGTTATTATTACTTAACCTTTGATAAAATTTCAATGCATAAAAATGCCGATATAGGACAAGTCAGAATTTATGCCTTCCCTCACTATAGAAAGAGAACTAATTAGGATTATTGATCGCCTCATTTATTTTAAGTCGGCGAACAACCAAATCTAAGCATGGATAAAAAATGATTACCCAATATTGGTCAACTTATGCTATGCATGGTATAGATAAGATGTCTTATTTGTTCGTCAGTGGGGAAGTATGCAGTGAAACAGTTGACTTCGTAATAATTCACGACAGTGAAATATAGTCTGTGCAACTGTGTTTAAAGCGATGGTCATGTACGAGGAAATAATCGAATGGATAAGATTAATAGTAAAGTTTAGGATAACAGTAGAAAATTGGTTGATGCAGATATAAACCTTCACCCCATTGAAATGATTATAACATGTGTTACACATATCTCTAGTTATTCACACATCTCAATAGGTTAGTTAGTATAAGAGTTAGCTGGAAGAAGTCTAAGAGTAACTTTATGTCTAAACAAATGTATAGAATGGTAATATCAATACAGTAAATTGATGATCACTTGGTCTTGAAATCAATCAAGACAACATTGATCAATCCTAAAGTCTAAACAGATTAATACTGAGCAGCTTATACATGGTGGTAATCAACTCTGTATGACAGTACACTATATTTGGTAATACATCCTCCTCCGGAAAAATTCAAAATTTTCTGTAAACGTTTTATTTTTTTTCTTTGAATTATAAATAAAATAGGAAGTCCAGCATTTTTTTTCTTAGTTATTATTGGTTGTATATACTTTTATTTATAAAAGAACTTGTTAACGAAATATAGACTGAATGTTTGATATTATTTCATGGCTAACTATAAATTGTACAGCTTAATTTGCATGGACTTTACAAATGAATCATTATCTGAATATATATTTATGCTTTTACTTTTTATTCAAATTAAGTGTAGAATTATGTTTAAGAATTAAATCAGTTGAGAAATCATGATACAATCAGAGAGTATTTGATATTCTGTCTTATCCTTTTTTTGAGGTACGGATGTGTACATGGGCAGTCAAGTTGGAAGTAAAGCAATGACTTACACGAATGGCATCTTACAATGGTTGTGATAAATTGTGAACTAGCATAACAAATGTGGATGAATTAGTCAACCACAACTGAGCACGTTGCAAGAAACGACGCTGTTAATTTCTGAATAGGGCTGCGCTAGTAGACGCACATCAATTGATTAAAGTCTACACGATTATCATAACCAACGGTTGTAGATTTTGGATGATATTTTTTTAAAAATTGGTCTTAATGGTGCAGATGGATCTAATCTTTGTCCTCCCTTACATTATGATTCTTAAAATTATAGAACACTTTATATTTCATGAATACGTTCTTGGGTCATAATATTTATGCTTAATCTTCTTTACTACTGTTATTACTCCTATTAATCTGGCATTCATCTTGATAATTTCATTTCACTGTGCTGATATGATGTGGTAGCTTCAATATATGCCAGGTCCGACATTGCCTGTGACTGACTTGCGCAGTGTCAAGGGTGAGCACTAAAGAGATGTTTTATGAAACAAGTGGAATGTGACTAGCAGATGAATTCAGGATAGATGTTTGGTCTTATTTGGGACCCACCAGTTATATGTACCTATTATATCCGAACGAAGAATAAATGAATGGTAACTGCTAGGAATTATTTATGGACTGTTATTATGCAGACAGTCTCATTGTATAACTATCAAGTAACTAGATTATATATGTTTGTATTTCTCTTATTATAAACTTTCTTTTGATATATTGACTACTATTATACGATTAACTATTCTTAATTTATTTCCAATCTATTAGTTACAGTCTTTCACATATTCACAGTTACTTTCGGCTAGATCTTTTATAACCGTTATTTTCTATTTGACGATATCATGAGGTCTGATTTGCTTGTATATAAACTACATATGTCTGAAATACGTGATTTATACAGCGGAAGCTGAGATTGTGTTTTGGATTCAACAGACAGGGTTATGTGAGAAGAAATAATCAAAACTCAGAGTAGACTCTATGCTGCTCGTGCTGGTTAACGCATCATTGGTTCGGCACAGGGCCGAGGTCGTAAAAGTCGGTGTTCTGATTGACGATCTTGTCATGTGATAGGAAGAAAGTAGTTACATCTCAGAGCTGATGTTTACTTCGCGATTCGAAACTAGTACCTTTCATTTCGACCACCTAATGAGTTATTGATATGATGGAAAGAAAAGTCAAAATTATATTGATTCACTCAGTATGATTTTTGTTCAACATTATTTTCGTTTTAATCCAATGTAATGATTACTCAATGTAGTATTTTGTTTTCCCATAAAACATACGATATTCTTGCATCAAGTTAACATAAACTATATTCAGCATATGATTTGTTATATATGTGATTTCATCCTAATTATTAATCAAAATGGGTGTACAATTAATATATAAATGAGTGCATTTTCGACTAGGTTCGTCATCGTGTTTCGGGGTTACTAGCAGAGCTTAGGAGCCGAATCTGGGGTTCAAAAAGAAGATATAAGTTATCTACTTAGCTACTGAGTTCACATAACCAGTCATTTGTGCAACAGGTATGAATTTTGATACAATTTGTAATGGTTTTGGATTATCACAATTATTGGTATTTTCGACTCAATTTCAATCGGTCAAAAATATCAACAATCGAATTATCCAGAAAAAAACATTACAAACTAAATGAAGAGCTAAACAGTTATCAATTACTTATTCATTTTCAATGATTCATAAGATCAATTCTTTTGGGTGACTTGAGTAATTATTTCGCATCTTATCTGCAAATTTATCGCATAATTGATTCAGCCATGTAAGTGGATGCAGATTACCTGGTTGGGGTCCTCAAAATTGTCGTAACCAACACTTAAGAACTTTTTATATGGCTCAGGATCATTAGGAATAGCACAGATGTATTCCGTTTTTGTTTTCACTTAAAATCTGAGTTTCGAAATGTTCTTACACCTGTTTTCTTTTCCTATACTTAATGTTTTCTACTACTCTGAGATTTGTCCAGGAATAGTTTTATATCGTTGAAATAATGCGGCTTAGTAACTTGAACTAAAATACATCCCAGGTTCTATGTTGCATATGATTGACTGATTGACTATTCATAACAACAAACAAACTATGAACTCATTAGAAAAGGTTTTTTGATAAACATCGCATAAATTATTTCTCATAAATAAAAGAGTTAGTCAGTGAGTATGAGCAAACTAACATTTGCACATTTCTGATCACATTGAAAGGATATCCATAAAAAAGAAGAAGGATTGAACTTTATCAAAAATGAACTATTAAATATTCGGTAAATCATATTTTAATCGATCGAACTTTAGTACTAGATTATAAGCCATTCTTATCACTGTTTTAATTTGATCAATATTGTTCAATTTAGTCAAAGTAAAAGTAAACTTTTCATATGAATACGGCAGGAACAATGAGTGATGCAGAATAAAATGGGTTCAGTAAAAATCTTGTAAATTTTCTTTAGGTTTTAGTCGGGTGATTATAATTTCCTATTGATATTTAGAACTGCAAATGATAAGTCTCTGTTGTGATATGTACAACCTGAAGGACTGGTAACGATACAAAGCTATTAACGTGTTCAACGACTGGGAAAGTATTAGCAAGGGTTTATGATTTCCAAGTGCTGAAAATCATGATTGTAATTCTTCGGTCTCTGTTGTTGTTTTATGACCCTTTTTGTATCGAAAGATAATATATTACTTAATAAACAGACATCACACAGAATCGGTTACGGTGACCAAATGAGTTTTTTTTGTTTTCTTACCAATCTTGAGTTTTAATGCCATTTCATAATTTCTACTCTCTTTTATTTAACTCTGTATTACCGAATCATATTCTCCACGTTAAGCTTTACTCTTTCATTTCGACTCCCCTTGATGTGTGGTATTGGTATGATGTGCCAGCTTAAGCCGAGATACATTTATATCAGGATCTATATATATTATGACCAACCGATTGACTGTAGGCAGATATAGTTTGAATCCAACCGAACCACAAATCTACCATTTAACTTTAATCATCGCACTTCACAAGTTGAATAGGAGTGATAATTAAGTTTTTCGGAATAAGATATTTGTTTGTCAAATACAGTTTTGTAATTTCGCTTTTTACTGATGAAAAAATTATTAAAATGACTTGCTTTTCTCAGCTTATTTGACTGATAAAGTATACAACATTTTGAATGTATTGCATGTATCATGAACCTTAAACTCGAGAAATATGTGTTTACATTAATAAGAGAATCAACATAAGATTGACTATTGAGAGTTGTGAAACTTAAAAAATTAGCTGTTGAAGTAACAACAGCTGACTATCATTTAAAACCATAGCTGAAAGTGGAGTTCGAGGGCAGGAGGACCTTACATAAATGCATTTTTCAATAAGTAAAGAATATTACTGGGACTTTGGCAAGTATCTATTGAGATTTTGTGACCATGCTCTACTTGTAGTGGAGACGTTTAAAGCTTATAAGATTATTAACATATCTATAGGGAGTACAGATCCTATCGTCATGTAAAAATAGAGTTCACAAGGTGACATCCCCGTAAAAAACTAAAACCATACACATAGATATTAGTTACCTCACCGCCTAAAACTTCCAATTGATGGCTTGATAGTGACTGTAAAGCACCGGGAGGAACAAGTAAGACGTTATTACGTAAAAGTAATGGTCCACGTAGACGAATTTTTACTCCAGGTCGAAGTTTTTTTGATAATTCTTTAAAAGGTAAAGAAGATCGTGATCTTGTGGATTGGGTGCCAAATTCAATAACTTTGATTTCATTTACTCCATCAGTAAGAAATAGAGTGAGACAATTGGCCATTGTTGACTGTCTAAAATTGTTTGTTTGAGTTGCTTCAACAGAAATATGAGAAGAGAACACGAAAAAAATATGTTTAAAGGTAGAGAATAATGACGTACTGGATATATGTGAACATTAGTATTTAAGCGATGTAAACAGTGTTTCAATACCCTCCGCTTATTTCGAGCAGTTGAGTAGTATGTTTACTCACTTTATCCACACAAAATTAATATGCTTCAATGTTTGATAGATGCTTGCACACCTAAACCTTGAGTTTGAGCGGAAAGACGATTAATTGGATTACCAATCATTAAGTAACATGATTAAACACACTTCTATTGAGAGCAACTGAGTAATATATCTACCACAAAATCATCAGATCAATAGATTTTAATCAAGCATTTACAATTGACTATCGAAGTAGATTTTGCCATTTAATCAAGAACAATGTAGAAAATATATAACATAATTTACTTACGACTTTGATTAAGATATTGACTAAAAGCTTGTGTCATTTGTGTAGTATGTCCATCTGGATTATTTTCACCGTCTACTTCCAATGAAGGTAGATTCACGCTCAAATTACCCTCATGTCGTCTCAGTTGACCATAGTATGATTCACCTATGTTGAGTAAATTGACAACCTAAATTAAACAAGTAAATCAATGAATTATCAATTATAACATTTTTAGAATTTTTGTTTCAATGAGAAAAAGTTAACACTCGCAAATATAGTACAGTTGTAGACAAATCGACTATATAAATCGTACCGTAATGGTGTGGGATTTTATGGACGAAATTTGTTATTAAAGTGAGTGGATAAAATGTCGATTGATAGATGATATGCAATTATATGACAATACGTAGTTAAGTGATGGATACTTACGAAACTGAACTATTGATGTGAGTCATCAATCATACTGATATCTGAAGATAAGACAGATGTTCAGTAGAACAGGTTTATTTTCCTAATGAAATAATGCACTTATATTCAAGATATTGAAAATAAGTATAAACATGATTAGAAGTCACTTAATAAATAGACAGTCTAAGAACATAGGAACCACAAGTCACTTTTTAACAGAGTTAATGCTTAACTATTAGGCTTAATTTTTGGCACACCATATCACTTATACAGTCTCAGAAAATTTGTTAACTACATTTTGACAGTTATCAAGAATCAGGACGAATAGGCCTTATTAAGCGACCATAATATTTCAAAAAAGATAATCAGTTAATTAGTATAACTGATTGATCAAGTACAATTCCATGTACTCGGGACTTTTAACTGGACTTTCCGTGTATGAAAGCTAGTAATACTATTCGGCTACCCATACTAAAGTAGACAGAAAAGAATTTCAAACCTACTACCTACTGGCTGAAAGTAGGATAGTTTAGTCACTAAGCCATTGTGCATCACATACAATAAGTAGGCAGTTGATTGAAATAATGTTAAACCTAATGTTCATAAACACCATAATTACTATTGTCAACAAATCAAATCGATACGACTAAACATTTTAAGTATGTGTCCCGCTAAAGTAGATCATACTGAACTGATAACTTTACCAACTAATAGATATGTATTACTTGATGTTTTAAATGTATTCACAATGTTGATCGATTTAGAATAATAAACGTTTACAAAATTAAACGTACAAATTCAATAATGAGTTGTATCACAAAGCTCACTTGGAGACAAAGTTCACCATCCAGCTTAAGTGCAGGTGAATTCATGGTATTTGCATCAGTACCACTGCTAAGCGAATTGTCATAGGGATTTCTTGAAGTAGATATAGTTGACGGTAGAACTGGACATTCTAACTGCTTCAAATCAGAATGAAGCCATTGCTCATATATTAATTGACACCAATCAGACTTTGTCAGATGATTACATGCATCAATACCTCCATGCTCTTCAGCAAGCCAAGCCACACAAGCATCAATCCAACCAGGAGGTACATGAATAGCTTGACTAGTAAGCCAGGCGCTAAGTTGCGCTACACCAGTATTTATATTCAATGTTGAAATAAATGATGTAACCATAGGTATTGTACTATAACGTACAAATAATAATAATCAGTAATGAATAGAGGTTAGTCTTTCTCATCTATAAGTTGAACATTATAGAATCTAAAGAAATCTAAAAAAACTATTATTTACCAGGTATCTTTTACATTTGATACTTACAGTACGATAACGGGAGAATCAAAATGGTTATTCGACAAAATGCCAGTCTATGTGATCTAGTTGTTTTCGATACGTTATAACTGCATGTATTAGGTTCCTTCAACAATATCATAATACAAAAATAGAGTTTCAGAAACTGCTTTCCATGAATATGCTATTATTTCTATGGGAGACAAGAAGTCATTAGTTAAACTATGGATGAATCGACATCAGTTTATAAATATAAATTGCGAAACTCTACTTCATGCAAAACACCATTTGATTCTTTGAAAAAAAAACTAGTTATTGATATACTTCCTTGCGATTACCGATTCCTCAGACCAAATATAATCACACTTTAAATGTACAGTCAGTCATAATCACCGTAAAGTCTGGTAAAAAGGATTAATAGGCTCAATTAGCCACGCTACACCAGCATAAAGAGACAATAATAATAATAATAATAATAATAATAATAATAATAATAAAGAGACAAAATTGACAAGATGAATAGCAGAGGAATCGAAATAATGGTGATATCAATGACAGTTAAGAAACACCAACACTGAAAGTATGGTTCGAAAAGAACGAGTGAAAATGAAGTATGTATGAGGAAGTACTTGAACCTAATGTTTTGGGGGAAGATAAAAGGGGCATGAGTCAGTGATCGATTTCAAGTCATATTACCTGAAGCCTATGACTGTGGTTATGGTGTAAACTACAATCAGATGGACTGCCATATACCAGCACGACTCAAACAAAAAGTCAATGAGTTAATGAACTAATAACATCTTTTGATTTAGAGGCTCTTAAATTTCTTCTAGATTACTTCTGTCATACCCGACGTATGAAGCAACTGACTATAAGTAACTATTTCTAAATATATCTATTAACCGCCTAGATCGTATTGAATAAGTTTAATATTTTTTGAATAACTTAGATGTAGAATTTATATCACCAAACAAATGATAAGGCAATACACATCAAGTAAACAGTCTAAGCTACCAGGCATACAGACATACACAAATAAAACAATACTATCAACTGCTTAATAAAAAAGTAGTCATCTGACTTCCTTACAGATCACACAGTGTAAACTAGGTAGTTGATTTATTATTACATTAAAAAAGTCAAAATACAAATGAAAGGGAGTGTAAAACTAATAAAGGATTCATAAAATATAACAATTATTATACTTCGATCAAACAAAATCATACGTTTATGGAATGAACAATCAGCTGATACATGTAACAACAAAAAATTTGGAAAACCCATGAATCATTCAAAATGTAATTAGTTTACTAGTATTTATTATATGAAAAAGTGAAACGCAAAGCATAGAATTTTCGTAACATACCAAAGGGGAAACATTTGATGATAAAATAGATACCATCTTATTATTAGACATTAATGAATGATTAAAAACTGTTCGTATGAAAGATAGACAGTAGAACACTCTGAATCTACATGTGTCCAAATCGTGTAAAATGTAAATTGCTTTATCTAACACTGCAATTGATATAACTGTGCTGTGAATGAGAATGTCAATCGACATCTAGAAAATGTCATTTAGAATTCTCGCCATAATTTCTCTACCCCACGTGTACTATTTCGTCTATAGCCTAGTGTCCTACGCTTTGATATACTACAACTGTCGAAATTAACCTTGAACAGGAGCCGATATAATCTTAGCTCTTATTGATCCACCGGTACGCATAATTTCTACCATTAGCCTCCAGTTAGAATAGGAGAACAAGTCAGGCGAGCTTCTATTACTATATTGAGGGAACCTAGCATATTTATCTCAAACACTCATCAGTTCATATGCATGGATCGTTAGACAGCAATGCACCCCGATTAAGAAATACTTTGCACACGATTATGCCATATAAGTGAAAGACAATGGTACACAACTAATCAGTAATAATTAACAAATGGTAGGAAGTATAACAATAGTTGGTGGGTCTAACAGAAATTTACAATACCAAGAATAGAAATATAATAATCCAATTATCCAATAATTATACAACAAAAGAAATAATAGGTCTGTAAAGTAGCTTCAGTTTCTCTAATATTCGCTTCATATCAACAGATTGTTAAACTAACCAAATATGCAAAAGATCATAAGAACATTGGAGGGGGACAGCTGGGAATGTTGGTAAACAGGTAATACAATCACTCATGTTATCAGGTACAAAATGGACTCATAATTACTTTACTTCGCGGACTCTTGGCCCCTCTAAATTATAACAACTTGAACCGATGAACTATAATTATCGAAAATTACATGATAAAATTCCACATACATCCACAGAAAAATTTGATAAACAAACAATTAAAGTATAACCACTCAAAAATATTGTCACATGTTAAATTTATGAACACGGATATATGTAAATACTGTGCTGAATGAATAACAAGACACATTAATATTTAGAAGTGATTAGTATTCTGCTTCACAACTCCGTCAGTTAATCAGTCACAAGTAACATAGAAGCTGGCACATATGTTGGTACATCATATTAGCACAGAGAGATGAAAATCTTAAGAAAAATGCCGTAACAGAAGTAGTAGCCGTACCAGTGATAACAGAAGAGATTAGCTTTAGGTAATATGATCCAAGATTGAATTCACGGAACCAAAAGTATGTAACAACTTTGATCCAAGGGAAAACAAAAAATTGAATGTATCTGCACCACTACGACTGATTCTGAGTCATGTCATCCAATGTCTTCAGTGATTTGATCACGATAATCAGACGGATTCCAATCAGGTAATCTGCACTTATCAACCTGATCAGTAGTTAATGGCTACACAAATGAAATATGGTCAGTGAGATTCAACATAAATATAACTACAGGCGAATAAGCATCAGGATTTTAGAAACACGATGTGGAATAGGTCTAGCCACCAGATAGGCAAAGCCAATATTAAGGTGTAAGGCTTTAAGGGCAACAGTATAAAGTATTCATTGATCAAAATTATTTGGACGTGAACTCGTTTAGCTTATAACCATTTGGTGTGAATAAGCGTAAAATGAAATCTTTAGAATACTGATATTGCGAAACTGAAGCACATAACTTGAGGCAACCACTAAAAACCAGGACAACAGTTTTACCCTAGTATAGGACTATTTAACGGTGTCCATTCAATACCATACCGATGATCCAACCGAGGACTTTCAGGTCTCAAAGTGAAACCTTAACATTCAAACAACTGAGTCGATATCCAGTGCTTGCTGATTTTTATTAATTGTCTAACCCAGCTTGGTTTATGATCCTCAACAATAAACAAGAATCTCCACAAACACATAAACTGAAACAGGCAAGTGGATGACTGACAGGACTATTGAGTTCCTAAATTTACCCAACTATTGATAAGAAACAATAGGTTTAGAAGACTAGAAATATAACACATGTACATTAACTTTGTTTGCATATTTCCAAACAGCATTCTTTAATTCAACACAACTCAAACCAATTTTTTCCTATCGCCTAATTTTTATTTTGGTTAATTATCATTTATTGCACTGTACATCATCCCAGATTATAAGATATACTGTACGATCAATCATCATATAGATATCTTCAGTGGTTATGTTTTCTACTGAAACGAAGCAAAGTTAATAGTAGGTCTATAACTAGCTGACATTAACAACTAATTCCCAATTACCAGATTCTACGTCCAAATAAGTTTGGTGGTATAGATTAGGAGAGAATATTGATGATTTAAAACTATATTATACAACCCTGTAAGTCATATTGATGACATGGAGTCATTGTTTTAATTTCCTCCAATAAATAAATACATAATTAAAGCCAGTAGTAGTGAAGTTTAATTACCTCACTAAATTCATGTTTCAAAGGCAAAATTGCGCTCATCTAACCTTGAAGTCAGTTATTATCATACATTAAAATAAATGATGGCTTAATATTTAATAGTATATCTCCGATGATTCCGGAAGATCTCTAATTAATCAAATGACCTACTATCATTATATTGCACCTCTAAACTTATTCACTCATACGAAATGGATACTCTAATGTCACCATTGATTAAGGATACTTCCAATCTCTTTATGTTACCTGCTTACACCGATGAAGCCTTACAATCCTACATTAAAACCAAAAGCAACCGTTAACCCCTAGACTTAGACTTCAACCAACACTGAAAAATAACATAACTAGTGACTTAACTGACACAACCTACGAAATTCTGATTTGCAACAGAACTCCATTGGTTAGCAAGTCATAATAATGCTACGTAACACCACGTACATTAAACCTTATTATCCAAAAATTCACGAACTCATATCAAACAAGCCAAAAAAGAACTAATATGTACGCTTTTACAAAATGTATTTCGTCTTCAGTCAAATTACTGAAAATGAAAATAATGAATGTCATTCACAATAACTGTTTTGCACAAAATGCGAACTCCACTTAATAACTCTTAATTAATAAATAACAAGAAAAAAAGGTGAAATACACATAATTATTAATGTTATTAGATGAATACTTAAAACACTGTGTAAGTTTTAAAGAAAACATGACTGAAAAAAATCAACGGAAATGACTGATCATATGTTGCGTATGTGTGGTAACAATAGATATATCGGTAGAGTGATGTGGGAAGAAACACAGACCCAATAAACTTTTGAAAATAGGACCTTGACCAATATTGAATTTTCATGAAGATATGCAGTCTTCCACTGATCCGTATATACTTTCATCACTGTATGCAATATAGAGGAAGAGATCACGATCATGATGTTCCTAAAAGTAGGTCGAAATCAAAAGGCTCATGATAAAAATATCATACATGTAAGTGTTGAATCCAATATGTACAAAACTATATATAATGTTCTGATGCGATGAAAAAATCATATTGCCTACAAATTAAAGACAGGGTTTGAAGTGGTAGATTAATGATTAAATCCTTTAGTTTTTAACTATACATGTTCAAGCCCCGCCTCACCTATTATGGGTAGCATCACTAGTCCTCAAGTACAATATGTACCTTACGGTGAAATGGATAAATCTGTGCTTAAAAAATGATTTATTTATATATATATGCGCCGCACAAAACAATGAGAATTTAAGGGGAAGGAAAAAAAAGAGAATAATAACGAAGACATTGATGTAAGGTGGTGTAATAATAATAATGGTAATAATGGGGGAACGGAAAGGTACAGTCAGAAGAAATCTTTCAATTAAGGAAGACACAACCACTTTTTATGAAAAAAGTAAAAGAAGGTTACAGCAGGATAGCCACTGGCTTCTATTCTGAACCATATCTGATAACGTCTC